GCGTTATTGGATATTCCATGACACTTCAAGATATTAAGTATACGGACTTTGACACCCCACGATACTTTAAGTATCCTGACACGTTGAGTACTGCTCCCGGATACGTTAAATATCAGCGCGTGTCAAGAACTCGTATTTTCCTTGACATCTCTCATTTCACGCAGTGTTAAGCTCAAGCTTCTCCATTTTTTTCGCTAGCTCGTCGCATTAAGAAGCCTGTTTATCGCTCCCCTGCAAAAAAGGTACAACTGTAAGTAATTTGAAATAGCATTAAATCCACTGGCGTACGGAGGGGGCATGGGAGGCCCGTGCCCCCCGCCAAAAAAAAAGTTTGCTTTCGGCAACAAAATTTAATTAATTCATGCGGGATTCCTGTGGATTTGGCGGGAAAATGGTACATACACGCCCCCCCCTCCTCATAATCCCAACCTCGCTATGCCCCTGATTAAATCATATATTTCATACGACAAAATACGCATACCTGTTGCACGCTTTCTTCTCCACTACTTTCTTGGTTATCGAAGCCCTCAGTTGCGTCATCCACATGGGATGTTCCTTTGCGAGCAGTTGTGTCAACAAAATCCTTCACTTTATCGGCAAGTTGCTCTTTGCATCTTTTACAAATTACTGTTGATAATAATCAAAAATAATATATATAAACGACCCGACTTTGTCAAATGTAGACAATAGACGGAATTGCTGACTAGCAATGCATTATGGGTGTATAGTCATTCTGATAATATTAAAAAAGTATGCATATTTATAACTCACGTGTTCCTACTGGGATCAATGTTTTCGTTATGAAGAAGATGTACTGTGACTCATTGCTGTTAACACTACGATCTCCTTTTGCAGAGGACTTGTGAGAAGCTACCTCACTTGGAATGGGACACCTCACTTCCCCGCATTCCCAATGAGCACCACAGGCATCCCGGTGGTGTGGACAAATAGTCAAAGACAGATTCGAATCATCTGATTGAAAAACTCCTTCAATTAAAATTAAACACGATTAAAGGTTAGCTTTTGGGGTTGCCGTAGAGTTTCCATGCTAATAGCGTCTCCCGTGGATGAACTCTGCTAGCAGGGAACCGGAAAGTATGAAAGTTATGAAAGAAACAACATCAGTTACCTGCTCTTGCAAGTAGAAGTGTTTGTTYGTCTTTAACAAAATCATCAGCCACTAATTTACAGGTCTTGAGGTGCTGCGTTATGTCTTTGTCACACTCACTCAAAGCAATACACTGTATATTGTCGGTATTCCTCCAGCTTGCTCCTCAAGGTGTAGGATCTTGAAGCAAGAGAGAATAACCGCACGAAGCCATTTCACCAACGCAGCAACCAGCTAGCTCGACATCGCGCAATGGTAAGAAAGTTCCCTATTTCACAATATTTGTAGAATGGAGCCGTCAAACATAACACGCGTTTATTTCTTACGACACAAACGAAGCCGCTCGTCTAG